TAGGCTGTCTAGATGGGTCGACACGTCGACGGGAAGTAGCAGAAGTGTGAAATGTCTCCCGCCCCCCTCCATCCCGTCGCCCGAGTTGTCTTTATATTCCAGCTCGTTGCCTTAATAATGTTGTTTCCCATTCAAACGGTAGATTGACTGGGATTATCTTTGTGAGACCTCTACTTTGACCTAGCCCCGAGTGACCCTTTGTTACTGCTTTAGCGAAGCGAAAAAACCGAATAGAGAATATTTTCTGGAATACCCGGAAAGAACTGATGGAACCGTCATCTTTCTCTACGTTATCATTTCAAGGTCCTCCATGCGGTGGCTTCCTGGTACTGGTCACTCGATCGATAGGTGGCCAAGTTGTAGAGCGATGTGGTAAGATTGGATCCATTGAGTGTCTTTTTTATGGTAGTCTTCTGCAATGCCGCTGAAATTTCAGAGAGAAGCTGTCCGTATGGAGAGGTACCGATCGGTGGTGTCTGCTACGGAATGGAAAGTAGGCGCTAAGAGCCAGTCCGGCTAGGTTGCTGTCAGCGAGCCGAGCCATGTTTGTACTTCATCAGGAAGTGTCTACAGTCGCAATTTGACAGTTCCGTGACTGCACGCGCGCAGCCGATTGCTGACCTCCTGTCTCATCACTCATTGACCACTTCTTCTTCTATGAGATCGACTTTATTCGTGCTTTTCGTTTATTTGTTGCTGCTACGGCTAGCAGGTATTTTTCGATTACCTCTCGCTTTAAGTTCCATTGCCTTATGGTCTCATGGAGAACCACTGTAGGTACTATTGTACTGCGTTTGTTTTTTGTTGATAAAACGTCACTTCTATTGTCGTTTTTGACCTGATCAGGGCCATAGCTGCACCTTCTACCGTTTTCCTCACCATAGGCGTCCGTGGGCAGTTGTACACTTAGTAGCTAACGGTACATCTGCGGAGTAATAACAGAGTAACTAAGGCATGTAATTTGTTGAGGAGCTTTGTCACTGGAGCAGACGCCAACGTATCACTGTTAGGCCAGTACTCAAGGAAGGACCCTGAAATAGACAGAATAAGGACTCCGCACGAATTCGCAGACGATATGCCGAATAGTTTGGCCATTCAGGGAATATACAGCTGAGGCGATAGCGTGAGCTGCACGAACGAACGGAGACGGACGAAGTCCGCGCGAGTAACTCGGGAGCACAGATGGTACTGCTAAGGCGCAGGGGACGAGCGTGAGATAGGAGACAAAGAAGTTTTCACGAGAAGTGGCAAGAAGGAGGATATTCCAGTGATAATAGCAATTCTGAAAGCATTGAACAACTGGAATGCTCACTGCCATGCTCAGTGCCTTGCTTGCCCATGCTACGCCTATTGAGACTGTGAGAGATGTTGGTCCTGTGAGGGGGA